ACCACTACTTGTGCAAAGTGTCGGATCAACCAGGCTGTGATGGTCATGTGGGCTAACGGGTGACCAACAGCAGCAGCCTTCTGGTTGAAGAGGCAAGCAACAGAAAAGTTTGTACCTAGATAGGCCTGCGAGGGTAAGGGAAAAACTCGAAACTGGTCACAGGGAGCAGGTCACAAAAGATACGTCACATGAGACAAGTCACAAAAGATAGGTCACAGGAGACAGGTCACAAAAGATGGGCCACTGCAGATTACTGTATGTTAGCAGCAAGTTCATTTTCCCCTCACTTTCGCTAGACAGTTTTCACTTTCACATTTGACTTCTCGCTCCTCAAATTTCACGACTTTACCTTGTTTGGGTTTAGTTCCTTTAGCCACTTCTCTGACCACTCTGCAAGCCTGTTCAGGTCACCCTGGAACCTTTTCCTGCTCGCCTATGTTTTTATATCATGTAAAGCACACTCATGACTCGACTCTGTCCGCTCTGGGAGATCATTATCTTAAATTAGGAACAGTCGTGGCCCCAGTACCCATCCCTGAGGGACCGCCTGTTTATGTCCCTTGTTGGTTCTCCCCTATTCCTCCTTCCTCTTATCGCTTTACTCTCTTTTTTTTCTTCGTTATTTACGTAAGGTTAACTTCGTTATTTGTATAAAGTTAACTTTGTTATTTGTGTAAGGTTAACTTCATTATTTGTATAAGGTTAACTTCGTTATTTGTGTAAGGTTAACTTGGTTATTTGTGTAAGGTCAACTTCACTTCCTGAGTTTCCTCCTCCTTCCAATTTACTGTATCTCACTGCATCTCCCTCTCTCGCCACACCTCTGTGTGACCCATCATCACCCTGGCCACCCTCACTGTGTGTGTGTGTGTGTGTGTGTGTGTGTGTGTGCTCATGTGGTTGCAGAAGTCAAATTACAGCTCCTGGCTGTACTCGCCTATATGTGATTGCAGGTGTGTTGTGTGAGAGAGAGAGAAATAGAGATAGATAAATAGACAGATAGGTCGAGAGAGAGAGAGAGAGAGAGAGAGAGAGAGAGAGAGAGAGAGGAGAGAGAGAGAGAGAGAGAGAGAGAGAGAGAGAGAGAAGCATGAGTGTGTGGGAGGTGGGCCAGGTGGTCGCTTGAAGGGTCACTAAATTCAAGTGGCAAGCTGGCACTGAGAATGCCAGGAGTTTTCAAGGAGAGAGAGAGAAAGAGAGAGCGAGAGAGAGTATACATGGTAATTTCCTAACAACTTACAAAGTGGGGTTAGGAGCTTAGACTTGAGTCCCACACAAATTCAAATCTGTGAGTATATTAGGATGGTAAAGTACACACCAGGAAGATTAAAAAACTGCAAACATAACAAAGGAAAGGTTTTGTAAATAAACATCTGAGGGAGCTGATGGGAACTATTTCTTCAGCAGCCCAGCTGAAGTAAGTGGATTTCAGAAAGAAAAAAAAATTGGGGGGTTACGGGGGGTCTTTGTGCACAAGGCTTGTGGATATGGCGCTTAGTTATGAATATAGTAATAATTTGTGCACAAGGAATGTCACTTAGAACATGCAGAAGCTTATAAATGTCGTAAGGTTGGCTACAGGACTAGACTCAGAGGTGAGGGTTGTGCACTGTGAGGGGAGACTAAAGACAGTGACGACTATGGAAGAGTTTTTAACATATGGGAGACAGTATGACCACATAAGTGGTAATATATTACTACATATCCACATGGATATGTGGGCCGTCGGGCCACCAACAGCAACAGCCTGGTCGACCAGTTACTCAACGACGAGGCCTGGCTGAAGGCCCGGCAACAGTAGGAAAACTCTCAAAGTATGTCGCAGGTAAAGCACATAAAAACAAATGATTCTTAGAGAAATTTTTCAGGCTAGATACATAGAGACTTCGAGAGGACAGGAAACCGCTGCAGTACAGTAGAAAAATTGACCAGACTGAATAATTTACAGCATTAAAGCAAGATATGACAAATCAAGATCTAGTGAGTTGGTTTAGCATTAAGAAGCGGGTCCAAGAGCTAGAACTCAACACATCCTCAGATAGGCTATTATGATCTAATTACTAATTTTGTAAGTTTTGAAACTACAGGGTTCAAACTACTGTACCTGGGTTACCACAGGTTACAAACTACTGTACCTGGGTCACCACAAGGTACAAACTACTGTACCTAGGTCACCACAGGGTACAAACTACTGAACATGGGTCACCACAGGGTACAAACACACAAACTACTGTACCTGGGTCACCACAGGGTTCAAACTACTGTACCTGGGTCACCACAGGGTACAAACTACTGTACCTGGGTCACCACAGGGTACAAACTACTGTACCTGGGTCACCACAGGGTACAAACTACTGTACCTGGGTCACCACAGGGTACAAACTACTGTACCTGGGTCACCACAGGGTACAAATTACTGTATCTGGGTCACCACAGGGTACAAACTACTGTACCTGGTTACAGGGTACAAACTACTGTACCAGGGTTACCACAGGGTACCAATTACTGTACCTGGGTTACCACAGGGTACCAACTACTGTACCTGGGTTACCACAGGGTACCAACTACTGTACCTGGGTTACCACAGGGTAAAAACTACTGTACCTGGGTTACCACAGGGTACAAACTACTGTACCTGGGTCACCACAGGGTACAAACTACTGTACCTGGGTCACCACAGGGTACAAACTACTGTACCTGGGTTACCACAGGGTACAAACTACTGTACCAGGGTTACCACAGGGTACCATCTACTGTACCAGGGTTACCACAGGGTACCAACTACTGTACCTGAGTTACCACAGGGTACAAACTACTGTACCTGGGTTACCACAGGGTACAAACTACTGTACCAGGGTTACCACAGGGTACCAGCTACTGTACCTGGGTCACCACAGGGTACAAACTACTGTACCTGGGTCACCACAGGGTACAAACTACTGTGCCTGGGTTATCACAGGGTACAAACTACTGTACCTGGGTTACCACAGGGCACAAACTACTGTACCTGGGTTATTACAGGGTACCAACTACTGTACCTGGGTCACCACAGGGTACAAACTACTGTACCTGGGTTACCACAGGGTACAAACTACTATACCTGGGTTACCACAGGGTACCAACTACTGTACCTGGGTACCACAGGGTACAAACTACTGTACCTGGGTTACTACAGGGTACAAACTACTGTACCAGGGTTACCACAGGGTACCAACTACTGTACCAGGGTTACCACAGGGTACAAACTACTGTCCCAGGGTTGCCACAGGGTACTAACTACTGTACCAGGGTTACCACAGGGTACAAACTACTGTACCAGGGTTACCACTGGGTACCAACTACTGTACCTGGGTCACCACAGGGTACAAACTACTGTACCAGGGTTACCACAGGGTACCAACTACTGTACCTGGGTTACCACAGGGTACCAACTACTGTACCAGGGTTACCACAGGGTACCAACTACTGTTCCTGGGTTACCACAGGGTACCAACTACTGTACCAGGGTTACCACAGGGTACCAACTACTGTACCAGAGTTACCACAGGGTACAAACTACTGTACCAGGGTTACCACAGGGTACAAACTACTGTACCAGGGTTACCACAGGGTACCAACTACTGTACCAGGGTTACCACAGGGTACAAACTACTGTACCAGGGTTACCACAGGGTACCAACTACTGTACCAGGGTTACCACAGGGTACCAACTACTGTACCAGGGTTACCACAGGGTACCAACTACTGTACCAGGGTTGCCACAGGATACAAACTACTGTACCAGGGTTACCACAGGGTACCAACTACTGTACCAGGGTTACCACAGGGTACAAACTACTGTACCAGGGTTACCACAGGGTACCAACTACTGTACCAGGGTTACCACAGGGTACAAAATACTGTACCAGGGTTACCACAGGGTACCAACTACTGTACCAGGGTTACCACAGGGTACCAACTACTGTACCAGGGTTACCACAGGGTACAAACTACTGTACCAGGGTTACCACAGGGTACCAACTACTGTACCAGGGTTACCCCAGGGTACCAACTACTGTACCAGGGTTGCCACAGGGTACCAACTACTGTACCAGGGTTACCACAGGGTACCAACTACTGTACCTGGGTTACCACAGGGTACCAACTACTGTACCTGGGTTACCACAGGGTACCAACTACTGTACCAGGGTTACCACAGGGTACCAACTACTGTACCAGGGTTACCACAGGGTACCAACTACTGTACCTGGGTTACCACAGGGTACCAACTACTGTACCAGGGTTACCACAGGGTACCAACTACTGTACCAGGGTTACCACAGGGTACAAACTACTGTACCAGGTTACCACAGGGTACCAACTACTGTACCAGGGTTACCACAGGGTACCATCTACTGTGCCAGGGTTACCACAGGGTACCAACTACTGTACCTGGGTTACCACAGGGTACAAACTACTGTACCAGGGTTACCACAGGGTGCAAACTACTGTACCTGGGTCACCACAGGGTACCAACTACTGTACCTTGGTTACCACAGGGTACAAACTACTGTACCAGGGTTACCACAGGGTACAAACTACTGTACCAGGGTTACCACAGGGTACCAATTACTGTACCTGGGTTACCACAGGGTACCAACTACTGTACCAGGGTTACCACAGGGTACCAACTACTGTACCAGGGTTACCACAGGGTACCAACTACTGTACCAGGGTTACCACAGGGTACCAACTACTGTACCAGGGTTACCACAGGGTACCAACTACTGTACCAGGGTTACCACAGGGTACAAAGTATTTATGGCTACCCACTACATTAACTATATACAGTATATTATTATTTTTATATTTCACAAGGTAACTGGTACTGATACATGTTTATTATTATTATTATTATTATTATTATTATTATTATTATTATTATTATTATTATTATTAATGATAAATAAGATTATTGGTATTAGTTGAGAGTGATAATTTTGTTTTGTGTACCTTCGCAGGCACTGACCACCAGAGCTCAGTCTACCAAGGAATTAGCAGGTAAGTGTTGCTGGTCTAGCATTGATTCGTGTATCTGCATAATGCACAATAATTCTTCTCAGTTGATAGCCTTGGTGTGCACTTCTAAGTTCTCTGCTCCCCTGTCTCTTCCAGGTACTCCCGTATGCTAAGTTAGCCACACTTTCTTCCTCTCCCGTGTGGTGTTCCCTGGCTTCTCCCCGCACTCGGTGTTCCTCCCTTACCTCACTCATCCTCGGTGTTCCTCCCTTACCTCACTCATCCTCGGTGTTCCTCCCTTACCTCACTCATCCTCGGTGTTCCTCTCTTATCTCACTCATCCTCGGTGTTCCTCCCTTACCTCACTCATCCTCGGTGTTCCTCCCTTACCTCACCCACCTTCGGGGCGTCTCCTTGTATAATTTCCTTTTAACTGTGTCCTTGGAAGATAAGATTGAGGGACGTGCCAAGCACACAAGCTACTGGGCGTCAGATCTACCAGGTACCAGGGATTCTTCACCAGGTAGGTCTACCAGGTACCAAGGACGTCACACAGGTAGGTCTACCATGTACCTGGTACATCACACAGGTCTATGTAGAAGACTTCCAACTGGTTTGTTTTATTTGTAAGTTCCATAGGCATATTAGATTTGTGTGTGGTGATATATTTTCATTTGCTTGATTTTCTTGGTTATCAGTTTCCGCTGGTGTGTATTCGCTTGCTTCCAGCGGTCACCGCCCCCGCGACCCGGTCCCAGACCTGATTCTTCTGTACTGTGACACTGACATCTAAGAATGAGACATTGGCACTACCTTCATTGTGGGATATTTCTTCTTCTCTCTTCTATTATTATTATTATTATTATTATTATTATTATTATTATATTATAATATCGTGAGGGTCATACAGCATCTGAGGAATGTATATTTTACGTGTATGATCTGTATCTTAAGGATGTTGAGGAGGGAATGTTGCTCTCACCTGGGAGATGTTGCCATGGAGACGCTGTGAGGGGAGAACATGGAGACTCCTCTCCATGCCTATAAGGCTAAATCAGATTTTTCAATAGTGAGACGATGTAGCCAATAATTTATTTACCCGAGATTGAGCAAGGTATTGTCTGCCTAGTTATTGTAAACGACAATGTCGCGTGCTGTTCAAGAGGTCTAAAGTCGCGTGCTATTCAAGAAGTCTAAATTTGATTAGAGATTCGGTCTAAATGGCATTATCTGTCTTAATTAAAGCGGGCAAATTACAATATCTAAATTCCAGTGTCTGTTTTTCATTATGTTATTTCAATTAAATATACTTTTAAAATAAAGAGCATATATCTCTAAATTGAGGCGGGGCCACCCAGTTGGCTTTCCTGCCCTTCACACTGTTGTGTTGGATGATGCTTGTACCGGAAGGAATGGTGCAGATGGCAGCACTGACATCCACGTTGATGTGAGAGGTTGCCCTGGTGATGTATCTTGACAGATCGAGTGTGGTGGCTGTGTTACCTGGCGGAAGTCACATGACTTCTCCGAGATTACGTCAATTAGCGAGGTTTGTCGTAAGTGACAGTGTTACTCTCGAAGAAGCTGTAAATGGTTGTTTGATTAATTGTGCTTCGAACCTATCAACACAGGAGGGTCATTATCAACACAGGAGGGGTCATTATCAACACAGGAGGGGTCATTATCAACACAGGAGGGGTCATTATCAACACATGAGGGTCATTATCAACACAGGAGGGGTCATTATCAACACAGGAGGGGTCATTATCAACACAGGAGGGGTCATTATCAACACAGGAGGGGTCATTATCAACACAGGAGGGGTCATTATCAACACAGGAGGGGCATTATCAACACAGAGGGGGCATTATCATCACAGGAGGGGTCATCAACACAGGAGGGGTCATTATCAACACATGAGGGGTCATTATCAACACAGGAGGGGTCATTATCAACACAGGAGGGGTCATTATCAACACATGAGGGGTCATTATCAACACAGGAGGGTCATTATCAACACAGGAGGGGTCATTATCAACACAGGAGGGGTCATTATCAACACAGGAGGGGTCATTATCAACACAGGAGGGGTCATTATCAACACAGGAGGGGTCATTATCAACACAGGAGGGGTCATTATCAATACAGGAGGGGTCATTATCAACACAGGAGGGGTCATTATCAACACATGAGGGGCATTATCATCACAGGAGGGGTCATTATCAACACATGAGGGGCATTATCATCACAGGAGGGGTCATTATCAACACATGAGGGGCATTATCATCACAGGAGGGGTCATTATCAACACATGAGGGGCATTATCATCACAGGAGGGGTCATTATCAACACATGAGGGGCATTATCATCACAGGAGGGGTCATTATCAACACAGGAGGGGTCATTATCAACACAGGAGGGGTCATTATCAACACAGGAGGGGTCATTATCAATACAGGAGGGGTCATTATCAACACAGGAGGGTCATTATCAACACAGGAGGGGTCATTATCAACACATGAGGGCCATTATCATCACAGGAGGGGTCATTATCAACACAGGAGGGGTCATTATCAACACAGGAGGGTCATTATCATCACAGGAGGGGTCATTATCAACACAGGAGGGGTCATTATCAACACAGGAGGGTCATTATCATCACAGGAGGGGTCATTATCAACACAGGAGGGTCATCAACACAGTAGAGTCATTAAGGCTGCACGTCAGATGTTCACTCCCCGTCAACAAAGCTTCAGTCCCAGACAAGAGCTTGGTGGGGTTATAGTAAGCTTGAAAGTGTTGTATATACGAGTATGTTGAGATATACACAGCTCTACGTGTATATACATTGTTGCTGTCAGTGCACACTCATCAATGGAAATATACTCATGGGAATATATATATATATATATATATATATATATATATATATATATATATATATATATATATATATATATATATATATATATATATATATATATATGTTCTTAAGGATGTGATTGAGAGATAAAATTTTTTAAAACATTATTATTAGTTACTGGTTAAATATATATGGTTGTAATAGTTTTATATACGAAGAGTAAGAGGTGGTTTACTGTGCCGTCCCCTGTAAACTGGAGGAATCAGATGGTATACCCTTGGTGTTAGTGTGGAGAGTATTGATGGAGGTCGCCACCCTCTCTATTATGCCTTACATTGTCATGTAGCAACCCAGGTGACGAAGACGCGGCTCTAATAGGCAGACAGGCAAGCAAGCAGGCAGGCAGGTAGGTAAGACAGGCAAGCAAGCAGGCAGGCAAGTAGGTAAGAAGACAGGCAAAGCAGGCAGGAGTAACACAGCAAGAAGCAGCAGGCAGGTAGGTAAGACAGGCAAGCAAGCAGGCAGGCAGGTAGGTAAGACAGGCAAGCAAGCAGGCAGGCAGGTAACACAGGCAAGCAAGCAGGCAGGCAGGTAGGTAAGACAGGAAGCAAGCACAGGCAGGTTAGTAAGACAGGCAAGCAAGCAGGCAGGCAGGTTAACAGTGCAGCAAGCAGGCAGGCAGGTAGGTAAGACAGGCAAGCAAGCAGGCAGGCAGGTAGGTAAGATAGGCAAGCAAGCAGGCAGGCAGGTAACACAGGCAAGCAAGCAGGCAGGCAGGTAGGTAAGACAGGCAAGCAAGCAGGCAGGCAGGTAGGTAAGACAGGCAAGCAAGCAGGCAGGTAGGTAACACAGGCAAGCAAGCAGGCAGGCAGGTAGGTAAGACAGGCAAGCAAGCAGGCAGGCAGGCAGGTAAGACAGGTAAGCAAGCAGGCAGGTAGGTAAGAAGACAGGCAGGTACGCAGGCACGGTTACAGATAGACTAGCAGGTAAACAGACAAACAAGTACGCAATCAGACAGGCAATAAGGTAGACAGAAGCACTCTTAGAACCAAACATAATTACCGTGCATTCGTATAATCCCCATGAATTTATCGCCTTCCATGAATTTGATTATAATAATAATCATTATGATAATAATTATTATTATTATTAACTAAAGTAAACAATCGTACCGTCTGTTTATCAAACATTTAGTATTATATTTTATAAATTCAATTAAAATATTGACATTTAATGCGTTAAGTTACTGTGTTGTGTCACCACTGGTTTATGAGTGTAACTTAAGTGGGAGGTTGTGGTGTTTGTTGAGTATGTTACATTTATTCGACGTTCATTACGCAACCTTTGGCACGCCCTCCCGACCAGCCACCTGGCAATTCAGAGTATAGTATTTCTGGGGCCCCGCTGCTGTATTAGTTATCCAGTTCGACCAACTGATAGCGTAAGTTGATGTTATACTTGTCTGCCTGTGAGGCAGACTCACTTACGCTGGTTCAGTCCATTCCTGACATGAACGGATAACTGCTCTGTCTTATCCTTATACTGCTAATTTAACCTTGCAATATTGTGCATAGTGTGAAATAATAAACGGGTAAAGAAAAAAACTGCCCCTTTTGTGTTCACCTTGTTCTTTTGTTGCCAGGTTGGTCTTTGACCGTTGACTTTGGTTACTGCCAGGTGCAACAGGCCTTGAATTGTTCCCTGTGATCATGATAGTGATACCCTGGGCATCAAACCTTAATATCAGTGGGCCATAAGTGTAACTTAGAGTGGGTAATATATGTGACTTCAGACATTTATATCATTGATTTATATGTGCACTATAAGACGGGTTACGTAGCATCCGGTATATATAGTTTATAGTGTACACAGTGGTGGGTACTTTACTTACGTTTACAGCTATTAGACGGTGTTGCAGCGTCAGGTAGCTGGTCTCTTGTAGTGCCAGGTAGTTGGTGTGTTGCAGTGTCAGGTAGCCGGTCTCTTGTAGTGCCAGGTAGTTGGTGTGTTGCAGTGTCTGGTAGCTGGTCTCTTGTAGTGCCAGGTAGTTGGTGTGTTGCAGTGTCAGGTAGCCGGTCTCTTGTAGTGCCAGGTAGTTGGTGTGTTGCAGTGTCAGGTAGCCGGTCTCTTGTAGTGTCAGTAGTTGGTGTGTTGCAGTGTCAGGTAGCCGGTCTCTTGT